TCGACTCAGCTTTTAACATGGATTCCTTCCGGCTTTGGAAAGGGTTTTGTCGCTTTTATTTGTATGTTGATGACCATTGAATGAAAAGAAGATCGGTTTCAGTAGTTAATTAAGAATGTTCATGTAGAGAATGAATGAGGATTTTGTTATATTTCATTGAAGACAATGTTACATTTCAGGAGATGAACAAATATTTGGATTTACCTGTTCATGAGTATATGTGGATATACCTGTAGCGTCACTTCAATGTCCTTCAATAGATATGGTTCTTCTTGAGATACCGGTCGTTAGGCTATGATTGTCCAAACGCAATTCTTGTACAGATTTAACCAAGAACTGTGTATGGACATCAGTGCTTGCGGCGATACAACAACATAACGGCATTTTGTTGACGTCACTACGAAGATTGCGATGACGCCATGATGGATGAAAGCGTCAACGGATGAAGAATGAAAATGAGATGTACTTTAATTCAACACCCAAAGCATTTCTTGTTATTTATTTAATGAATACATGTATTGATCAGTTATATGAACCAGTATTTACTGCAACTGTTCGACATTTGTTGTTCACACTGTTAAATAATAATATAAATTTTAACAGAGTATAAATTTAAACAATTTGTCAATGTACACGTATGTTCGTTTTATTGCCTGAATGATATAGAGACAAGTATTATGACTATTTACTGTAAATATTTGTGTTCTTTGTTCAGTTATATCAGGGTAATTTATTACACAAGCGTCATTGTCATCGACACATTGCCAGTGTTAGAATATGCAACTTGTCACTCAATGCAAGAAAAAGGAAATAAAGAAACGTGAATCATTTATTTGAGTTTCATTTTCAGTTGTATAATTTATCGATTAAATTCGAAGATTTCAAAATGGAAGTTATTGCAGTTTTTCGATATTGTGAAATAAATTATGTATTTGATCGTCACTGTTATGTGTTAACAGTGCAATTAATGCATTTATGATTCATATCTGATACTCATTAACTATCCCTTCGTGTTGATAGTTCCACGCATTTTTCACCGCTTATGATCAACTGTACCATAGCACTTCAGAAAGAGCCTGTGTGTATTCATCTCAGAAGCCTATTTATGGAATAAATCAGGACTACCTCAAATACTGCAAATATTGCATATCTTGAAATGTTCAGGAAGCATTCAGGCTTTTTAAGTTTCTGCCCCAATTGTTCAGTACAATACACAACCTGTCTGACAATGAAACCTATTAAATGTTCCACAAGACAACGCAACAAAGGCATGCATAAGTATCCCTGCCTCATAGTCAGCTATTCATTGTGCATTACCCTGCAGTCACTGTAGAAAGTAGATGGCAGAGAGACATGATGTAGGACATGTAAATGAGTAAGGTGTAAGCTTTTCTGTACATTTAGAAAATGTTCGAGACGATTAATGGCACAATTAATGTCAGTGTTGAATTCGGCCTTGTAAGTTTTAATACGTTTTATTTACGTTCATCAAGTCGTCATCACACAAATATTTATTCATTGTAAAAGTTCAACCCTTTCATGCTCGCGGTCTTGACGACGATGTCTCAGTCATTGTTCACAACTACATTGAAAGTCATTGGTGTGGCAATTTATAATACAACAGGGGTTCTATAAGAAAAACACACTGTTCCGTTTGTGTTTATACGTCATGGAGACAGATACACTATGTTGAAATGAAACAGAACTTGTTACACCATTGGTATAATATAATCCATTGTGTGAAATATAGCATTTGCATTTCAAATTCGCCGAATACCTGATATGCATATTACTACAAAGTCAACCTTGAATTGGATTGAAAACCAGCTATTAATAGAAGAGCAATGGTAGTAGTATTGATTTTGTTACATTGCCCTGTCTTGTTCGCCTGGAGTTACTCTGTTTCTAGATTGTAGATGGAAGTTTGGCGTATTATTAACTGCATATACAACTTCAGAAAATGAATTGTGTTCAGGCTTGGTGACGTGGTCGGTATCGGGGCATCGTATCCTGAGGCGTAGGACGTTGCTCATGGCATCAGCCACTGGCTTGTCGTGGACAGAGTCGATTATTGACAGGCAGCGTAAAAGAAACAACAAACAAACACACACAAAATATGGGAAACCACCCATTTTAGGCTGAGATAGTGTGTATGTGTTATCCAAGCAATATCGGAATATTCCTATATAATTTTAATCCATTTTATTTTTAAAAATTAAAATAGATTGTAAGCCCATTACGGTGCAGTTTAAACATTGATCTATTTGTAGTGAAGTCGGATATTTGGTGGAATTCTTTATCCTGTTTGCTCGTGATTACCTACATCTAAGTGAGCTACTGTAATGTAGCTTTATTTACTTCCTCGGCTGCTGTAATGTAGCACTATTTCCCACCCCAGGTGCTGTAATGTAGCACTATTTCCTTCCTCAGCTACTGTAATGTGGCACTATTTCCTTCCTCAGCTACTGTAATGTAGCACTATTTCCTTCCTCAGCTACTGTAATGTAGCACTATTTCCTTCCTCAGCTGCTGTAATGTAGCACTATTTCCTTCCTCAGCTACTGTAATGTAGCACTATTTCCTTCCTCAGCTACTGTAATGTAGCACTATTTCCTTCCTCGGCTACTGTAATGTAGCACTATTTCCTTCCTCAGCTGCTGTAATGTAGCACTATTTCCTTCCTCAGCTGCTGTAATGTAGCACTATTTCCTTCCTCAGCTACTGTAATGTAGCACTATTTCCTTCCTCAGCTGCTGTAATGTAGCACTATTTCCTTCCTCAGCTGCTGTAATGTAGCACTATTTCCTTCCTCAGCTGCTGTAATGTAGCACTATTTCCTTCCTCAGCTGCTGTAATGTAGTACTATTTCCTTCCTCAGCTATTGTAATGTAGCACTATTTCCTTCCTCAGCTGCTGTAATGAAGCACTATTTCCTTCCTCAGCTACTGTAATGTAGCACTATTTCCTTCCTCAGCTACTGTAATGAAGCACTATTTCCTTCCTCAGCTACTGTAATGAAGCACTATTTCCTTCCTCAGCTGCTGTAATGTAGCACTATTTCCTTCCTCAGCTACTGTAATGTAGCACTATTTCCTTTCTCAGCTGCTGTAATGTAGCACTATTTCCTTCCTCAGCTACTGTAATGTAGCACTATTTAGGACATGATAGAGAGATGGGTGGTAGATAAACACAGGATGAATTAACTGGACGTTTGGACAGATGATCTTGGTTGGGTAGATGAAGGGTGAACGAAATACGTAAAACATCACACAGATTGCAATCAACACATCATCCAGTGTCTCCTACTGACACCATTAAGGCCTAGGAAGGAAAACAGGTTTTCCTAGTTTATAACATGACATATAAGCAGATCATCGCTCATGTTTAGATGTCACTATGTTCACAATTCAGGGCTGGTATATCATGTATAGATACTCACATGATGATCACAGGTTAGTATATGCAGGTGTGATAGATACAGACAAGTTAGTATATGTAGATGTGATAGATACTCACAAGTGAGTATATGTAGGTGTGATAGATACTCACAAGTTAGTATATGTAGATGTGATAGATACTCACATGTTAGTTTATGTAGATATGACAGATGATCACAAGTTACATATGTAGGTATGATGAATACTCACAACTTAGCAGATGTAGGTGTGATAGATACTCTCACGTTAGTATATGTAGATGTGATAGATACTCACAAGTCAGTATATGTAGATGTGGTAGATACTCACATGTTAGTATATGTCGATGTGGTAGATACTCACATGTTAGTATATGTAGATGTGATAGATACTCACAAGTAGGTATATGTAGATGTGGTAGATACTCACAAGTTAGTATATGTAGATGTGATAGATGATCACAAGTTGGTATATGTAGATGTGATAGATACTCACAAGTTAGTATATGTAGATGTGGTAGATACTAACAAGTTAGTATATGTAGATTTGATAGATGCTCATAAGTTAGTATATGTAGATGTGGTAGATACTCATCAGTTAGTATATGTAGATGTGATAGATACTCACAAGTTAGTATATGTAGATGTGATAGATACTCACAAGTTAGTATATGTAGATGTGGTAGATACTCACAAGTTAGTATATGTTGATGTGGTAGCTACTCATAAGATAGTATATGTAGATTTGATAGATACTCACAAGTTAGTATATGTAGATGTGGTAGATACACACAAGTTAGTATATGTAGATTTGATAGATACTCACAAGTTAGTATATGTAGATGTGGTAGATACTCATAAGTTGGTATATGTAGATGTGATAGATACTCATAAGTTAGTATATGTAGATGTGGTAGATACTCACAAGTTAGTATATGTAGATGTGATAGATACTCACAAGTTAGTATATGTAGATGCGGTAGATACTCATAAGTTAGTATATGTAGATGTGATAGATACTCACAAGTTAGTATATGTAGATTTGATAGATACTCACAAGTTAGTATATGTAGATGTGGTAGATACTCACATGTTAGTATATGAAGATATGATAGCTACTCACAAGTTAGTATATGTAGATGTGGTAGATACTCACAAGTTAGTATATGTAGATGTGATAGATACTCACAAGTTAGTATATGTAGATGTGGTAGATACTCACAAGTTTTTATATGTAGATTTGATAGATACTCACAAGTTAGTATATGTAGATGTGGTAGATACTCACAAGTTAGTATATGTAGATGTGGTAGATACTCACAAGTTAGTATATGTAGGTGTGGTACATACTCACAAGTTAGTATATGTAGATGTGGTAGATACTCACAAGTTAGTATATGTAGGTGTGGTACATACTCACAAGTTAGTATATGTAGATGTGGTAGATACTCACAAATTAGTATATGTAGATGTGATAGATACTCACAAGTTAGTATATGTAGATGTGGTAGATACTCACAAGTTTTTATATGTAGATTTGATAGATACTCACAAGTTAGTAAATGTAGATGTGATAGATACTCACATGTTAGTATATGTAGGTGTGATAGATGATCACAAGTTAGTATATGTAGATGTTGTAGATACTCACAAGTTAGTATATGTAGATGTGGTAGATACTCACAAGTTAGTTTATGTAGATGTGGTACATACTCACAAGTTAGTATATGTAGATGTGGTAGATACTCACAAGTTTTTATATGTAGATGTGATAGATACTCACAAGTTAGTATATGTAGATGTGATAGATACTCACAAGTTAGTATATGTAGATTTGATAGATACTCACAAGTAAGTATATGTAGGTGTGATAGATACTCACAAGTAAGTATATGTAGATGTGGTAGATACTCACAAGTTAGTATATGTAGATGTGGTAGATACTCACAAGTTAGTATATGTAGATGTGGTAGATACTCACAAGTTAGTATATGTAGGTGTGGTACATACTCACAAGTTAGTATATGTAGATGTGGTAGATACTCACAAGTTAGTATATGTAGGTGTGATAGATACTCACAAGTTAGTATATGTAGATGTGGTAGATACTCACAAGTTAGTATATGTAGATGTGATAGATACTCACAATTTAGTATATGTAGATGTGGTAGATACTCACAAGTTTTTATATGTAGATTTGATAGATACTCACAAGTTAGTATATGTAGATGTGATAGATACTCACAAGTTAGTATATGTAGATGTGATAGATACTCACAAGTAAGTATATGTAGATGTGGTAGATACTCACAAGTTAGTATATGTAGATGTGATAGATACTCACAAGTTAGTATATGTAGATGTGATAGATACTCACAAGTTAGTATATGTAGATGTTGTAGATACTCACAAGTTAGTATATGTAGATTTGATAGATACTCACAAGTTAGTATATGTAGATGTGGTAGATACTCACAAGTTAGTATATGTAGATGTGATAGATACTCACAAGTTAGTATATGTAGATGTGGTAGATACTCACAAGTTAGTATATGTAGATGTGATAGATACTCACAAGTTAGTATATGTAGATGTGATAGATGATCACAAGTTAGTATATGTAGGTGTGATAGATGATCACAAGTTAGTATATGTAGATGTGGTAGATACTCATAAGTTGGTATATGTAGGTATGATAGATACTCACACGTTAGTATGTGTAGGTGTGATAGTTACTCACAAGTTAGTATATGTAGGTGTGATAGATACTCATAAGTTAGTATATGTAGATGTGATAGATGATCACAAGTTAGTGTATGTAGGTGTGATAGATGATCACAAGTTAGTATATGTAGGTGTGATAGATGATCACATGTTAGTATATGTAGATGTGATAGATGATCACAAGTTGGTATATGTAGATGTGGTAGATACTCATAAGTTAGTATATGTAGGTATGATAGATACTCACAAGTTAGTATATGTAGATGTGGTAGATACTCACAAGTTAGTATATGTAGATGTGATAGATACTCACAAGTTAGTATATGTAGATGTGGTAGATACTCACAAGTTTTTATATGTAGATTTGATAGATACTCACAAGTTAGTATATGTAGATGTGGTAGATACTCACAAGTTAGTATATGTAGATGTGGTAGATACTCACAAGTTAGTATATGTAGGTGTGGTACATACTCACAAGTTAGTATATGTAGATGTGGTAGATACTCACAAGTTAGTATATGTAGGTGTGGTACATACTCACAAGTTAGTATATGTAGATGTGGTAGATACTCACAAATTAGTATATGTAGATGTGATAGATACTCACAAGTTAGTATATGTAGATGTGGTAGATACTCACAAGTTTTTATATGTAGATTTGATAGATACTCACAAGTTAGTAAATGTAGATGTGATAGATACTCACATGTTAGTATATGTAGGTGTGATAGATGATCACAAGTTAGTATATGTAGATGTTGTAGATACTCACAAGTTAGTATATGTAGATGTGGTAGATACTCACAAGTTAGTTTATGTAGATGTGGTACATACTCACAAGTTAGTATATGTAGATGTGGTAGATACTCACAAGTTTTTATATGTAGATGTGATAGATACTCACAAGTTAGTATATGTAGATGTGATAGATACTCACAAGTTAGTATATGTAGATTTGATAGATACTCACAAGTAAGTATATGTAGGTGTGATAGATACTCACAAGTAAGTATATGTAGATGTGGTAGATACTCACAAGTTAGTATATGTAGATGTGGTAGATACTCACAAGTTAGTATATGTAGATGTGGTAGATACTCACAAGTTAGTATATGTAGGTGTGGTACATACTCACAAGTTAGTATATGTAGATGTGGTAGATACTCACAAGTTAGTATATGTAGGTGTGATAGATACTCACAAGTTAGTATATGTAGATGTGGTAGATACTCACAAGTTAGTATATGTAGATGTGATAGATACTCACAATTTAGTATATGTAGATGTGGTAGATACTCACAAGTTTTTATATGTAGATTTGATAGATACTCACAAGTTAGTATATGTAGATGTGATAGATACTCACAAGTTAGTATATGTAGATGTGATAGATACTCACAAGTAAGTATATGTAGATGTGGTAGATACTCACAAGTTAGTATATGTAGATGTGATAGATACTCACAAGTTAGTATATGTAGATGTGATAGATACTCACAAGTTAGTATATGTAGATGTTGTAGATACTCACAAGTTAGTATATGTAGATTTGATAGATACTCACAAGTTAGTATATGTAGATGTGGTAGATACTCACAAGTTAGTATATGTAGATGTGATAGATACTCACAAGTTAGTATATGTAGATGTGGTAGATACTCACAAGTTAGTATATGTAGATGTGATAGATACTCACAAGTTAGTATATGTAGATGTGATAGATGATCACAAGTTAGTATATGTAGGTGTGATAGATGATCACAAGTTAGTATATGTAGATGTGGTAGATACTCATAAGTTGGTATATGTAGGTATGATAGATACTCACACGTTAGTATGTGTAGGTGTGATAGTTACTCACAAGTTAGTATATGTAGGTGTGATAGATACTCATAAGTTAGTATATGTAGATGTGATAGATGATCACAAGTTAGTGTATGTAGGTGTGATAGATGATCACAAGTTAGTATATGTAGGTGTGATAGATGATCACATGTTAGTATATGTAGATGTGATAGATGATCACAAGTTGGTATATGTAGATGTGGTAGATACTCATAAGTTAGTATATGTAGGTATGATAGATACTCACACGTTAGTATATGTAGGTGTGATAGTTACTCATAAGTTAGCATATTTAGATGGGATAGATACTCACAGGTTAGTATATGTAGATGTGACAGACGCTCACATTAACATGTATATGTGTGTTTAGGTCTTCATAAGCGTTTGTCTCGTTTAAAAATGTGTGTCAGTCAAGTGTGCCTGAGTTAGGTGATCACGATCCTATACCAGACCGTTCAAATAGCATTACATGTCACAAATGCAATACAAGACATCCATTGTATCCATTCATCACAGAGTTGGCCATTTAAGACCACATCTGAAATTATCCTCGACAAACTCTCTCATCTTTAGACTGGATGTATGTCAACACTGGAACACACACAGCTATAGCTCCCATATGTCTTCTAGCCTCACAGCTCTCAACATAAAGTGCTCGTTAACTGGGGATTCATTTCGCAGCATCAAAAGCATCCCTAATTTCATTTCCTAACAAGTATTCGCCAAAAACAGCTAAACTGAAGAGATTTTCAACTTCATTTCCCCTCTTGCTCTTGATGTCTTGTTTTAGAAGCGGCCTCCCAAATTAGATCCGTTTGTTGAGTCATCCGGTTCTTCTTTCAAGATAAAAATAACCTCCCTGTCGATGATGTATTATTGTGTCAGATGTATTTAACACTGATAACGTTCATAATACAAAGACGTAGACACACTTCCAGTGACAGTCAATGGTTGATAGAAATATACCCTTGTACTTAAATGCATGTCAAATGGTCATATACGTCGATGATACTGTATCAGCGCCTGCTATCTCTACTCAAGCCTACCTCCTTATACTGCCATCGCTATGGCATTGGCATTATACGCGGTTATGTCAAATGGTGATTAACTTTAAAACATTGATTGTGTGTGAGTGGCTTATATCAATATATTATATTATCTCTTTATTATGCCAGCGCTGATCCCATGTATTGGAATAATACATGGGTGTGTCCAACGATGATCCACGTGGACCCAATAGAGGATGTAGACACATTTGTGTGTCTGTTAGTGTGTGTATGTGCGTACGTGAATGTGTGTGAATGTATGCGAGTCTGTGTGAGCGTGTTTGTGTATGAGAATGTGTTTGTGTGTGTCTCTGTGTGTGTGTTGATGTATACGTCTGTACATGTTTGTGTGTATGTCCGTGTGTGTTTTGTGTGTATGTGTATGTATGTGTATGTGTGTACGTGTATGTGTGTGAATGAATGCATGTGTATTCAAGTGTGTGTGTGTGTGTGTGTGTGTGTGTGTGTGTGTGTGTGTGTGTGTGTGTGTGTGTGTGTGTGTGTGTGTGTGTGTGTGTGTGTGTGTGATTTTTGTTCTCAGGAATAAAATGGGCTAGAACGGTTTAGCTTTTTAGCTATAGGTCCGTTCTAATTTCGATTTCCATGACATATGTACTGTAAACATCAATCATCCACTCACTCACTCACTCACTCACATCAAATCAGTCGTCGAACTTTCTTTCATCGCTTTAGCCTTTAATAGAACTGTTTAGCGTATCAGGCCAAGGCGTTTTGGCTTCCCAATGACAGGGTTGAGACACATAAGGCCTGTTGCCTTGGTAAAAGGAAAGCTTAAAATCAATGCAACCAAAAGCATGTTTTAATGCACCGAAACGTGAACGGATTAACGAACGAATGCAGAGTGGTTTGATAGTCTAATGACTGTCTGCCTGTTCCTTTTGATCCTTTGATTGTGTGCAAACAGTTTCTGCCAAATGGCATGATCTTTAACTCAAAGACTTTTTTGTTTCATATCTGATCAGCAAGGCCACACGTGTATGAAGTTTATTTTTCTTCAGCTTTCATCCTATTCCAGAAGCTCATCCATACTGTGTATTCATCAAATTAAACATGCGCTTTCTTCTTTTATTCTGAATCATATTTCCAAACAAACCAGGTACCATCTCTCAGTATCTGGCATAAAAGGTCAATCACAAAAGGGCAATGGCTATAAATAGATTAATCTATGGCATGGGTTGCCTTGTCATCTAAGGCGTCGCGATTCACTGTGGCCCCCTTAGGGTCCGACCATTCGATATCCTGGGGGAGGGGTGGGGTTGTTCGGGATTTTATCGTGAGAAATAAATTGTCCCAGAAAAATGGGAAACTGTTAAAAAAATACCAACCAAAAAATTACAATGTTGCACAGTGTTTTTATTTTATTAAAATTCAAGCTCACAGTTTTAAATATAAAAATACCTGGTTTTGTAACTGTAGCTGATAATATATCTAATCTCATTACAACTCTCCCTCCCCTCCAGTATATCAAATGGTAGGTCCCTAAAGGGTGCTAAAACATATAATCAGGGGTTTGAATCCCGGTTCACCCTGGTTATGTTTCTACGGGTTTTTTCAGCTTTATGCGTCTTGCTTGTCACCTAAGTGGTATACGTCTGAGACCTGCGCCACCTTTGCCTTCCTCCTAACGTTCAAAGGAGCGTTAAACCTCACATCGCCTACCCTGTAAGGAACCACACTCCCACGAAGGAGATCAGGAAGATGTATGAGCATACAAAAACCTACAGTAACATTCAGTGGCGCGTCTAGGTCAACAATGCTGTAAAATTATATTATAATTAGCTAGATATGCTAGAGATTATGACTTAGGGATGAAACATTTGATATTCTGGTGTGTGTGTGTGTATGCTGGGCGGGGGGAGGTGGGGATTTTGTATCGAGATTTGATATTTTTTAGCTCCAGCTGCAAAATTATTTTTAAAAAACTATAAACCTGAATACTTTTTAAGAAAAACAGCTATCAACAATGTAAGTTTTGTGACAGGCAGTTTCATATTTTTCAAAGGTCTGAAGCATCATTATTTTTTAAAGATTTCAGTGACAATTAATTTTTTCAATAAGACTATACATCTTGCTTCACATTTTTCAGCCGGTTTTTAAAAAGGGTTATCGCAATATGCTACCTCCATATTTTAGAAACATCTATCTGCACGGCCTGAGGTTTATCACAAAATGGACCGCCTCCGTGGCCTAGTGGTTCGATCCCGGGCCGCGTCATACAAAAAGACGTTAAAAGATTGTACTTGTTGTTACCCTGTCTGGCGCTCGGCATTAAGGGGCTAAAACAAGGACTGGTCGGCTCGGAGTCAGTATACTGTGTCTGAGTGGGGTATTCATGTTAAACTGCGGCATGGTATCTCAGTGAGCTAGCACTATAAATCGGCATCAGTCCGGACTAGTACAAGCAGCCACACACACACACGTGCATGCACGTCGCTATATAAGTGCAATAATCTTGGACGCGACGTTAAACCCAATTTCACCTCACCTCACAACTTTCTGTAGTCATAAGAAATCTGCTAAAAGCAGCGTTCAATATACGATTCAGGTTGTACCGTGAGCATAACTAAGTAAAGCCTGTACGTTCTAGTCAGTACTTGAAACGCCATCTTCAGCCCCTCGGTCCAGTCTTAAGTGTGCACCAGAACGCTCAGACATTTAGGTGAAATGAGTGCACTGAAGTTGCCCACAAGCCATTGATTTCATCCAAAATAATGACAATCAATTTGTAACAAATGCTAATGGCCCATTACTATCTAGCCAGTCTCTCCCAAGTTTGATGAACTAGCGAAATGTATGGTAGGACACTTGCTTAGCGTACACCTGGAATCAATAAGTAACCATTGGCACATCGATCAAGCAACGGCCATTTTGCAATTAATTCTTTAATACCAAATGAATTATCGGAGTATATGCAGTTCATATATTATTGTAGTAAAGTGTGGCTCGCTCTCGGTACTTTGGTTTGTTAACAAACAAAGACAATCTACGTTGTGCTACCCTCGAGTAATGAACCCGTTCTTCGTCTCATCTTGAGTGACTGACTCTGGGTTCTAGTACGAGCTGGGATTCGATCTCTCGGTCCTCTGGCACGCTTAATGAACGCATCTCAGAACAGGGAAATCAGTGCCTTAGACAACAGGGCTACCTGTTCCCCCAACTGTCTGTGCATCTAAAGAATCGGTTGGCAGAGAGAGAGAGAGAGAGAGAGAGAGAGAGAGAGAGAGAGAGAGAGACTGAAGAGCTGCCATGAGAGTGAAAGTACCATGTCTAAAACTGATATAAAGAAGATGATGGACTAACGTGGACTTTATTATTTTATTACATATTACATGTACACCGAGTGAACATTTACCTCATATCTGTGTATATATATATATATATATACAAATATGAGGTAAATATATGTATAGGTATGTATATATATATATATATATATATATATATATATATATATATATATATATATATATATATATATATATAGTCAAGTGGATAGAGCATTTCCTATATCTGCCGGGTGAGGGGAAGGTTCGGCCCCTGCCCGCGTCCTAAAGAAGATATAATTTGGTACTTGTTCTTACTCTTCCTGGTGCTCGGCATTCAGGGGATAAAACAGGGACTAATGAGTATGGTGAGTCAGAGTGGGGTATGATGTTAAACAATTATCTAGTCTGGGCCCGGAAGCCAGCTGTCAACATCATCAGCAACCTTGAATGTCGTCGGGATCAGTGAAACACAAACCACACTATTGATAACCAGCTCTAACGAAAAGCATGGGGTGTTGCGACCTATTTTGCCCCGGAATCCAAAGACGTTGTCGTGATTCTTCAGGTTATGGATAAAAGTTAGGTCGAAATCTTCAGAAATGCGGACGTTACTACTGAAGCGGGTGTAAACCGATCTAGCCGTCCTGTTGCTATTAAACAGGCGTTCTTGAATCGCTGAAATGCAGATATATGCATTAGATCCTCATCTTGGTAGAAAGCCGTATTATGCTGCACTGTGTTTGTTCTAACTTTTAAGCAGTGGTAATTGGTTGGTAACTACATAGACTATCCTATGTGTGTTTTCAGCTTTGCTCTCGAGAGAACAGCCACTATATGTACCGGGAATAATTTTGACTTATAATAGAATGTGAATATTCCAGTGTATTTTTTCTCAACACACAACGACATAAAAATGAAATAGCGTTAGTAGCATATGGGTAAGCCACGACAACGAGCATACAACACAAGCGTCACTGGAGATATGTGGGTGTTTAATAATCAGGAGTCTCGCCATAGATTCACATTTGTTCACAAGGTCTGGATCGAGGACATGAATATTTATAGGCATGTTAACAGGTGATACAGGTCAAAATTTTAACTATATTCTTTGCCACACACAGACAGTTACTGTTCATTCAGAATAGCAGCTGAACTTAACACTTCATTGGGTGCATATGCATATTGAGCTTATGAGGGCAAAAGGTGAATGACCGCTTGGGGCTTCAGATGTGGACTATGATGATGTTGATTATGATGATAGTGTGTGAGTGGGTTAGTGAGTTAAACTGTGACGTGTTATTTCATCCATATGGCGACGAGAACAAGTTTATAAATACAAGTGAAAACGATGATAATAACAATAAGATGTGATGATGATGATGATATAACATGATGTTATAGAACTGTCTGACTTCCACGCAGTTATAACACGATGTTACAGATCAGATCGTACTACCGCGTAGTTATAACACGATGTAACGGAGCTGATCGTACTACCACACAGTTATAATACGATGTTACAGATCAGATCGCACTACCACGTAGTTATAACACGATGTAACGGAGCTGATCGTACTACCACACAGTTATAACACGATGTTACAGATCAGATCGTACTACCACACAGTTATAACACGATGTTACAGATCAGATCGCACTACCACGTAGTTATAACACGATGTAACGGAGCTGATCGTACTACCACACAGTTATAACAGGATGTTACAGATCAGATCGTACTACCACACAGTTATAACACGATGTTACAGATCAGATCGCACTACCACGTAGTTATAACACGATGTAACGGAGCTGATCGTACTACCACACAGTTATAACACGATGTTACAGATCAGATCGTACTACCACGCAGTTTTAACACGATGTTACAGATCAGATCGTACTACCACACAGTTATAACACGATGTCACAGATAAGATCGTACTACCACACAGTTATAACACGATGTTACAGATCAGATCGTACTACCACGTAGTTATAACACGATGTAACGGAGCTGATCGTACTACCACGTAGTTTTAACACGATGTTACAGATCAGATCGTACTACCACGTAGTTCTAACACGATGTAACGGAGCTGATCGTACTACCACACAGTTATAATACGATGTTACAGATCAGATCGCACTACCACGTAGTTATAACACGATGTAACGGAGCTGATCGTACTACCACACAGTTATAACACGATGTTACAGATCAGATCGTACTACCACACAGTTATAACACGATGTCACAGATAAGATCGTACTACCACACAGTTATAACACGATGTTACAGATAAGATCGTACTACCACGTAGTTATAACACGATGTAACGGAGCTGATCGTACTACCACGTAGTTTTAACACGATGTTACAGATCAGATCGTACTACCACGTAGTTATAACACGATGTTACAGATCAGATCGTACTACCACGTAGTTCTAACACGATGTAACGGAGCTGATCGTACTACCACACAGTTATAATACGATGTTACAGATCAGATCGCACTACCACGTAGTTATAACACGATGTAACGGAGCTGATCGTACTACCACACAGTTATAACACGATGTTACAGATCAGATCGTACTACCACACAGTTATAACACGATGTCACAGATAAGATCGTACTACCACACAGTTATAACACGATGTTACAGATAAGATCGTACTACCACGTAGTTATAACACGATGTAACGGAGCTGATCGTACTACCACGTAGTTTTAACACGATGTTACAGATCAGATCGTACTACCACGTAGTTATAACACGATGTTACAGATCAGATCGTACTACCACGTAGTTCTAACACGATGTAACGGAGCTGATCGTACTACCACACAGTTATAATACGATGTTACAGATCAGATCGCACTACCACGTAGTTATAACACGATGTAACGGAGCTGATCGTACTACCACACAGTTATAACACGATGTTACAGATCAGATCGTACTACCACACAGTTATAACACGATGTCACAGATAAGATCGTACTACCACACAGTTATAACACGATGTTACAGATCAGATCGTACTACCACGTAGTTATAACACGATGTAACGGAGCTGATCGTACTACCACGTAGTTTTAACACGATGTTACAGATCAGATCGTACTACCACGTAGTTATAACACGATGTTACAGATCAGATCGTACTACCACGTAGTTTTAACACGATGTTACAGATCAGATCGTACTACCACGTTGTTATAACACGATGTTACAGATCAGATCGTACTATCACGCAGTCATAACACGATGTTACAGATCAGATCGTTCTACCACGCAGTTATAACACGATGTAGTCTGGCATTTAGTCTCAGAAATAAACAATCCTAGAGCTGAGGCAATCTGAACTTGCCAAATCATTCTAGACTTCATTTGGACTTTTGTTTTATTTTATTTTTCTCTATGGTCTTGGAGACGAGTGAACACGATGTCACATAGCTGTCGTTTTTTCCACGCAGGTTCCATACCATGTTGCTGCTGGTTGCTGGGCGTATCAGTGACATTAAAACGCCGTGTAACCACACGCGACACAATATGACAATCACACGACCATAATAGATGCACATTTCAAATTCCGTTCAAATTATTTGTTCCTAAATTGTGAATGTATTCTTGTTTCATATTTTGCAAAAACTCTACTCCATCACACAACATCATATTTTCGAACAAGTAAGTGAGTGAGTGAGTGAGTGTAACGCCGCTTTTAACAGTATTCCAGTTATAGCGCGGCGTGTCAGCTTAATGTGGGAGGAAAGCCCGAAGTGATGCAGGTCTCAGACGTTTACCACTTCGGTGAAATCCACGAACACGGGTATGGTGCTGACAAACCTAGAAACATAATCGGGGCGAACCGGGATTCGAACCCACAATCATAGGTTTCTGGCGTGCCGAAGGGACGCACAGCGAATTTTTCGAACAAAACATTTTCGAACAAAACGTGCATCAGAATAAATTATGTGTATTAAAGATTCTGATTCTTTCTACGTAATATTTATTAGTCGTGGAATTCTGACCCCCACGCAGCCGGCCACGTGACCTGAAGAGCAGTCTACCTGATCCTGCAGCTGCAGCTATTTGGACCATCTACCTGTTCGGCATCCCCTGGGGATGCTGGAGCTGTTCGCACATGGCGGCAACGTGTTCGGTGTTGCATGA